CAAAAATTTGTCCTCAATTTACATTGGTACATATCATATACGTGAGGGTTTTTTTTGCTTCAAGCTTTTTTTGTTCTTTTAACCTTCTGCATTTTCCTATTAAACATTAGTAGTTACTTCTTTGCTGCACTGTGTCCTTTTCTCTACAGTGCTATAAAGCTCCATGTCTCATGCAAAGGTCTCAGATTCATGTTTTCTAAATAGAAGAGGATGTGATATTATACTTCGTGTTGGCAAGCAAAAGAGAAAATGAATCTGTTTAAAGAGAATCCTATGCAATTCCCTTGCAAATATGAGATTTGCAACATCACTATGGGAACAAAGCCAAGTCACTGGGCTTTCTAAATTTAATGAGGTTCAAATGTCCAAGGGCACCAGCTTTCAGGGGAAGAAGCAATGTCAGAGCATGCAGAGAAAAGGATAGTGTTTCTTAAGCAAAGGAAAGAAAATATCTTGAAAGAGGTTTACCCCTTGAAGTGAATCAGGTGAAGTTTCTGGTAAAGAGCGAAGGCAGGCAGCTGTGAGTGTTCAAAGGGGATTAGATTCTTCCACAAATCGTGACTTTTAAGTTCAATCACTGCAATATTATTTATGACAGTTATAGGCCTATATGGCAATATCTCAAGAGAGAGAGAGTGATTCATCAATTCCAAAACTGCTTCTTCCAGAGACAGAGCTGCAATGCAGCACATCACAAGCCACAATATTAGGTAGGAAGGAAGAAACCTTCAAAACAGGGAATGATGCGAAGTCTATTTGATCAGATTAAAGATACCTATTACCTCCAGTAAGCTTTGGAGAAAGGCAGCTATTGAAAACAGTTTTATTTGCCAGAAATTCCTTTTGCTGCAGATGGCATTCTCTGGTGGATTACTAAGGCTGAAGCAACAAATACACCCTGGAGCATTTCAGAGCTTTCGCTGCAGAGCTCCCCACCAAGATCACCCCCTGGGGTCAGCAGAGGCACATTTCCTTACCACCCTGGGGCTGTCAGGCAGGCTGAATATAAAGCTTCGTTAAAACTAACCAACCTCACTTGATATCAAACAGAACACATCAAATATTTGCAGCTATGCCAGCTGCTTCAATGGTAGTATACAAATATCAACCTAGACTACTGTCTCTCTCACGCAATAGCTGGTCAATATTGCTTCCTTCCGCAAACATCCAAACTCATTCTGTGCTTGCCTATGCCCTTCCCACCTGTGGCAAGATAGAAGTGGGGCTCTTTGCGTGCTCCTAATGAATGCAAGTGCGATTTGTCATAAAGCTTTAGCTTGGGTTGAGTCTGAGAGTCACTCAGTGCATTACCCACACATCAGTTAGGATTTCTGAAATGTAAGGTACTGTGGGAAGTTGCATGGTATCCTCTAAGAAAGATACGCCGCTGCTTCAAATAGAGCACATATTTGTCCTTTGTTAAGTCCATGTCTGCAATTTTATAGTAAAAATAAGTCTGCAGTCACCATTATACTTATGAGCTACCATTTTTTTTTCCAAATATTTGCAGTTCTTTTCTCTGCTTGATATATAGTACACCAACACTGTAAAACAAACATGAGTGGTGCACCTTGTTTTAGTACCACATCTATCTTCTGCTAGATAGCAGCAGATGATCGGGCGTCTGCAGGAAATTTGTCAGTGAAGAAGATGCAGTGATGTATTTACAGGAGATATTACAATACCTTTTATTTGTATGTATACATAGAAATTCTAGAACAGAGGTGCTACAACAGTACATGGGGCAACGCCCTATAGCAGGAACCTCAGTCCAATGGTGCTCTCTGTTCCCAGTGATAAATGTTTTGCAAAACACCAGCCCAGAGAAGAAAGCAAGTTCTCCTGCACTTGCAAAACTCTTTCTACCTACATTGATGGCTCCAAACCAAAGGCTTAAGCATGAAATCATAATGCAGTATATCTTCCCCAAACTGGCCATTTGCTCACACATAAAGAAGAAACCCGTGTAATAGTGACACCTGGTGACACCCATTGTTTTGCTCACACACACATATGCCTCTTTTTCCAGACGTAGTAAGTTTTACTGAGCACTCCCAACCTGTGCTCAGTGATTAGGGGTAGAACTATAAAACTGAACACCCAAGTATAAAGAGTTTGGATTGGTGCCTTACTCTTTGTCTTTCTTTTTGACACTGCTGACCTTCATCAGATGGTTTACATGCTCCACTGTCGTGTTCAAGGAGATGTACCAGAGATCACGTGGTCTCCATGGAAAAGAAATTTGTAGCAAGAAGCTAACAGAAAATGAAAAATTAATTGTGCTGACATCAATTAGTTCCTTTTCCTGTAGCCCACACTGCCTGAGCTAAGGGCTTTATGTTCTTTGGAAGGGATTCTGTAGGCTTAATGGTTAGACGATAGAATGGTTAAAAACCCCAAGCACCTAAGCCTCCAACATTTCTTGTAAAGTTTCTTTGCCAATACATTCTCAAAGTGACCTCATTTTTGTATCAAATAAGATCAAAACCAGCTGGATGTGTCAGGAGGATACTAATAGCCACCAATACTATTAGGCATTGATCCCCACTTTCTCAAAGTGTTTGCTGGGAAGTGTAGGGATTATAATCACATACTCTGATGTTCTGGTTCTGTAAGTTGTCATTTGTGCCCATTATTAAATTAGCTCACCACTGTGGTGGAAATCACTACTTCTATTCTTTGGTAACTACAACATGTGTCATTTAGGCCATGGATTGTGTAAAGTCCTATTGGAAAATCCTGTAAAAATTAGGTCGTGAAGAATACATCTTTCTGACTCAAAGGTGAGTATGGTGGAAGGGGAATTAGTTTATACCTTTCATTTAGGTATGTTCAAAAAAGGGAATGGGAAGGCAAGCAAAATGTCAGTGCAGATACAACAGTATAAACCACATTTCCAAGCTTTGATCACTTAACTGTTTCCCAAGGGATGTTTGTACAGGTATTTTGTTGAACTCTCAGTCATTATGCTTCCTGTTATGAACTGGTTAAAAAGAAGATTATAATGCTGTTATGGGAAAGGAGAAAGTAAAGTAGTGAAGTGCATTGCAGCAGGAAGGAAAAGGAGAGAATCCAGGCGCAAAAAGATCTCTTTCCTTTCTTAATTACACCAACCATTTTTGAGTAATTCCCTTATTTCCTTGCTCCTGCACCAACCTCAGATCATTTCAGGAATTTGAAGAACAACGAATGTGTCATGTTGTCCATGCTTCAGTCTCTAAGCAAAACATTTGTGCCCTCTACTCAGTGAATGACTCTGCATAGCCTACCTCAGCTGGAGAAGTTCCAGCTTGTGAGCAGGGAAGAATGCTCAGGTAACAAAACTTGTCCTCTCAGAGCATGGGGACACCATAAAGATGTTCTGGACATGAGCTTCTTCTTGAAGAATAATGGAGAGGTCACTCTGAATGCCTATTGCCAAGAAGGGCTGAGCCAGGGTCATTAATGATAATTAATCACTAATTAAACCAGGCATGATACACTAGAAATAGTACGTTAACTACTCCATTCTCTGGGAAGTCTCCTCCTTTAAGTCAAACTGGCTCACACAGCGGCTGTGCTTCCCGTGTGAAACACATGTCACTTACATATGATCCTGAGCTGCTCAGTGAAGTTGTGGAAGCAACAATCTTTTTGCTGATTGAATTTTCACTTAATTTAATTTCATTGGAAATCACAGATGGTGTCACCCAGCAGCTAGAGGCTAAAAAGGGGCACTTTACAAACTAAATAAAAAACTTATTAAGTTATAATAAGCACCAAAAGCAAATGGAGGTGGAAACTTTACTGCAAACAACATGTTTACTTTACACTCAGTGGTATTAAAACCTTAATTATGCTTTTGGTAAAACAAATAGCTCTGTAATATGATGCAAAACCCTGGTTTCTTATGAATGAGACAGGAAATGGATAAAAAGAGCACAGTAATGCTAAAATACATATGGGTGAGAATAGTTCAAATGTAAAAAGTTTACTTACCTAATTTTTTTTACAAATGAGAAAAAAATAAAAAGAATAAAATACCCTTGCCCAGTGCAGGCCACTAAAGTTTCTTTCTTAAATGAGCACAAATAGTGTGGTCAGTGTAATAGATTGCTTTCAAGGCAGACAACTGCAGTGTGTGAACTTGCACTTATATTTCTCACCAACCTTGTCCCAGTCTCTTGGGGAAGCGCGTGCAAGAGCTGTACCACACTGCACGGTGTGGCAAGTGTTCCCCAAATCAAACCAGCCCACTCAGAGAGTACTAACTGGTCTGTCAGGTATGTGAATGGTACAGGTCATTTTGTCAGCGTGCAACCCAAGGAATGTGCAACTCTTCAGTGTTTCCAGTATCAAGTTACCACTCCTTGAAATGACATAAAAATTACTCAGGGGCACTACATGCTAATAGCTATTAATATCAGCTGGGATACAGCATGTCTGTGAGGGAAACTTTGAAGGGACAGAAAATGATGCTTACTTTTCCATCTGTGTAAAACGGGAAATGAACATCTGCTGTTATTGAAAATGAAGAATATCCTTCTGTGATTGAATGAAACACTGTTGTCTCTCCTCTGATTTTCTATATGATCGTTTTTTGAGAGAGAAATAATAAATTTTAAGATAATCCCTGCTCACAGATGTGTTATTTATTTGCCCAGTTAACAGCCATTTCCTGTAATCAGTATAAACTGATCAATCTGCCATAATGAGAATGGAGCCAGCAGCTTCCTGGCCAGGGATGAGTCTGTGTCTCTTCTAATCTGCAGACATAACATATTGGAAGAGAAGACCACTGAATTCCCACATGCTAAGCGGTGAGAACATGGTAGCTCTACCCTCTGCAGGTAGATGGCTAAAGTAAGATGTATGAAGACGATAGTTCTCAGGTCACTTGTAACATTACTGACAAAGACTGTTTTCTAACATATGCTCAAATTATTTATTAATTAATTCTGACACTAAAAGAAGTATTTTTTAGTTTCCGCTGTAATATACCTGCTACGACTAATGGATGATGTTCAAAAGCAGATCCACAAATGTATTAAGAGCAATGGTTTTTGACCCTTTGTAGAAAAATGCTTTTATTAGTGCTGTAAAAGCCTCTGCTGAACACATGGATGGGGTTAAACTTCTGAGCAAATGAGATTTAGTGGAAAAAAAGCAGGGATCAAATAGTGCTTTGTTCCTATAAAAGAGTAAACCAGTACATAAAGCAACAAAAAATCCTACTCCTTGATTCCAGGTGGCCCCATGGGCTGCCCTCCTGTAGTGGTACGTTTTTTGGTGGGCAAGGAAAACATGTTCTTTTTATGACTATTATGTGATTCAAAGTAAACCAAGAAGTGGCTGAAATATGTCCCGAGAAGACAATACTGCCATCAAAATATTTTGAAATCTGTCATTTTGACATTTTTAATGTGGATTTTGGTTTACAGGATACAGCAAATAAAAGTCAATAAACACCCAGATTTTTTTTTGGACCACTGCATCAGCATCTCTGGTTTTGTTTATGAAATAAGCCTAGATTTCTGTCTTCTTTTTTGGGTCACTATCTGGGCTCTGAAGAATAGGGCATATTTAGAGGGTTCCTACAGTCAAAATATTATTTTCGTATTTAACATTGATTGCACATCTATAGTAAGTCTTTCTCCCCCCAACAACTTCACAAGGTTTTACATTACCGTTGCTTAGCTGCTAAGATTTTACTCTTTATAAAGTGGTTTCTTGTCTGTTACCAAGAGACATCATTCTACAAAATGAAAAGAATCTCCATCCAAACAGTGTTTCAGTGCCCACATTCAACCAAATAAGTTGTGAATGTTATTTGATTCCTCTTTAATGTTAAGAGTTTGATCCCATGAAATGTCTGCAGGCATTTATACTTAATGTTGTGACTAGTCAGTGGTCTTTGGTGGCTAAGTTACGTGATGTATATTGTATGCATTTGCCAAAGCAAATTTTTGGGAAAGCAGATGGTAGTGCTAAGTGCTTAAAACTCAATACCACCAGTTTCTTTTTCACTCAGACTTTAAAATAAACAAGAGAACTAAATGCCTGTAACACCAGTCCAATGCAGTGTTAATACAATTGCACAATAAACCATCAAATGTGAGAAGTGAAAACCTGTGAGGATCCCAGTTACTGCAGCCATACCAGTGTGTGCAATGCTCCTGTATCTTTGACTAAAGAGCAGTACAACATATGCTGCAGCTTAGTTCTACCTGTGCCCTATGAAAAAGGGAGAATACACTATCTAGCTGAATTACCTTTTGCATTGAAATCTTTACTTTTATTATTAGCTTTTTCTTTTTGTGATATCAGTACATCCCTAACACTGTAACAACACAGTTAACTGCGAGTTTTGCATGTGCCTAATGTAACAATTAAGCTTTTTAAGATCTCCTAATTGCAAGTTTCATCTGGTCTGATTAATGTATACAGATTTATTTACCCCTTAAAGCTACAGCAGCACAATCCAGTGCTGCAAGACAGACCACGATGTATATTAGAATTGTGCCAGAAATTATTTTACTGAAAAATAGAGAGCATACGGTGCCATAAATACTGCGTTGGATGCAGTGCTTACAACATGGAATTGATGTGTGTTGCAGAATCTTTGAATGACCAGGCTATTTATGGGTCTCTGTACACACGCAATTGATACTCCAGATCAGATCGAAACTTCCCTATGTCTACATTCCTATCTACAGTTGTACACCCCCAAATTAAGAGCAAAATCCTGTAACTAAGTGCTAAAAAAAAAAAAACAGATCCTGAATGCAGCGCTTTGGGACCAAAACAGAAGGGGCAATCTCTTATTATATGAACTGCCAGGATTCTCTGTCACCAGAGACTATTTCCTGGTTACTAAGAATCAAGAGTCCTCATTAGACACCTGAAAATTGAGAACTACCAAGAACTGGAGGATTGAAGACAGCCCCACCACTGAGGAGGCACTGAGAGTTGAGAGTGCTTTACCCTTCTATGACGAAGAAGCGTAGCAGGATGCTGCCTCTCACTGGATCATTCCCCTCCAAGGGATGTGAGCTGTGGCTTCACCTTGCTAAATAGTAGCTGCCCTCTGATGAACAAACACTATCTTACATGACTGCCCTGTTAGCTTGCCATCACATACATTTCTATGCATAGCGGTGCACTGAGTTTCTAGGTTGAAAAGTGCAATGAGAATGCAAAGAATTATCAATATTGAAATTGTGAGTCTAATAATTTATATCCTGCTTTCTCATCAGTATCCCACAAAATGTCCCCAGCAGCAAATGTTAGAAGTCATGACATTAAATGTTCTTTAGAGTGCACTACTTTTTTTAAACAAATAAGACTTCCCCTTCCAAAAAGTCACTGTCAAAACCTCCAGCATGCTTGAAAGGGGCAGGATCTGCCTGTTAGCTTTTGAGAATATGCAGTTCATTTCAGCTGTGCTAGCCTTGGTGAAACCTCGTGTGATAAATCATACAACTCAGATGTTTTTCACTTGTTTGCCAATGAATTTGAAAAAGGGCTTATAGCAGTTGGGAGTGTAAATACAATTAGATTTTAAAGTTATTCAAGAATCATTTTAAAGTCCCCCTGAGGTTTCCATGTTAACTCAAATGGATTTTGCTTTCCGCCAGGATTCAGCTGCTTCTAGGAAGGCTTTGGTGAGAAGGCGAGTAATATGACACTAGTCCTGTGTGAGAATTTGTGGACAGGTCTAAATTACAATACCACTGTAAACATTTAGTAATGTGCTTTTAAGATAATGAAAAGTGTATTCATCTTAGTTTTTTACATCTCAAACACAACCACATTTACAAGTTCACTTTAGCTCATTATAAATATTCTTTGCCTTTACACCAACAGCCCTGGTCTAATTCTTCACGCCTGCATCAAATGCCTACTCTGTGGCTCTTCCCCACGCTTTGGATCCCCCGTTGTGTCAAGACTTTCTGGTGTTGCTATGGGAAGAGGTCAAGGACTAATTCTTTTGCTGATTCCATGTAGCTGTTGTGTCCTCAAGACTAGGTTAGACTAAAGTTAGAAGCCTGCAGGAAGGTAAAAAAAAGACTTCCCACCTCTAACCAGTACACCTTCTCATTGTCCTGGGATGAGTGTGTCCAAAATGAAGTCAACATTGCAACATAACTGGCTTCACTCGTGTGTGGGAAAAGATGAACTGGGGATGGGAATGTTTGAAAAGACACACAAACTCCTGCAGAGGCCCAGTCCCTCCTCATCCACTCCCGACTGGGTCTGCCCAAAAGCCTATTGCGAGAAATGGTGTCACCTCCCTATTTCTCCTGCCTCATACTTCATATTCATCAATATAAATGTGTCAGAAAATGTACAAAGAAACTATTTTCCGTAGATTAGCAGGGCACACATATTTCATAAGGATTTCTTTTTTTTTGTTGGCTAATTATGTTTGGAGACATTTCCCCACAGAGAACTACTATTTCCTAGTAATGAATAAGCTCAGCACTTGTGAGTTCAAGCTGGCAAATTGCCACATTATCTCTGGACTGCTGCATGAAGAGTCCAATTATACAGCTAAATCAGGGAAAAGGAAAAACAGAAAATCAAGAAGGAAACATGGGCACCAAGTTTTGATTTTAACTGGGGCTTTTGGCTCTTCCTGGGTTTTAAGATCAAGTTCTCAAGCTACACAGGCTGGTCCCGTTAACTGTCCATTAACAACCATGCTATAGCAGTGCTCCCTCTCACTTTGGTGGTGGACATCCCTGCTGGCTACGCCATCCCTTTTCTGACATGCCCTGCAGAGCCCCAAGGGAGAAAAGCTGGAACCTGGCAGTGCAAAGTGCTGGTCACTCTACTAGCATCAAACACCTTCAGTTTCCCTCAGTTCTGCAGAGGACTCATTCTGCAGTGACCAGAAACATCAGCAAACCCCCTGAGGAATTAGTGATTAAAAAAACCATCACCTTTCCCAAGCAAGAGCAAAAGCTGGTTTTGATGGAGCTCTCCTCACATTTTTGCCCCCTACAAATATGAAATTGCTCATCCCAAATTTTGATCTAAATAAAGATGGAAAGGAGCACCTGCTTTCTGCAATATTATTTTAAATCTGCAATTCAAATGGATTCTAGTTTGGCTCCCATTTCTGAAGAAAAGCACATATAATACAACCCTTTACCATAATCCATGACGAAAAATCTGTGCAATGGTAATTTGTTCACAAACTATTGATGCAGGAGTCATCTTTTGCTCTGTTTTGGGCAGCACCTGTCAGTAGAGAGTCCTGAGGCCTCCAGATAGTATGGATGAGAACTAGCCAGATTCCCACAGCAGCTTTTCAGTACATAAAGAGAATAGGAAAAGGCTTCTGGGAAACTAACTGCTAGAGAATTGTTCTTGAGAAGATAGCAGATATCAACTGACAAATATTTACCACAGAAGTTCCAAGAGTTAAAAGCTCATTCCTCTTAAATAGGTGGACATGATATTTCTTCTGATTTTTTCTCATATGATATCTCTTCACTTCCATATAAGATATCATGGGAATTTTACCAGCCTTAACCTCTTGTCTCCTCACAGCTCTGCCCCAGGTAGGAGTTGACCTTTGCTAAGTGTTCGAGCTGCCTTTAATGAGGGAGGATATGTGTTGTATATAGATCTTCCTGAAAATCCATGAAAAAAGGCTGTTGCCCAGTAACAAAAGGTCCAGTTTGGCTTCATTTTCTCCTGATGAGCAACATCAGCCCTTTTGGATGGTTCTGCTGCTTCCTTTCTCTGAGTAAATAAACATGGCATTATGTGGATAAAGGTATAAGGCAGGGTAAGAGGCTCTGTGGATGGTTCCTTCAAGGGAGACAGACCTCAGAGCTCTCCAGCAGAGCTGGATTACTGAGTAGCTGGTTTTCCTGAGACTTTCCTGCAGTCATCTCTGCTGTACAGTGACATATGAGGTAGACACTTGACCTGTACCTGCTATTTAATTAAATGCACTTCTCCACCTTTTTATTTGCATCTGTGTCATGATCCATGTAAGGAGAGACAAAATACGATGTTGTTAATAGGCAAAACTTACGAAGCTTAAATGGAAGATTTGGCTGGTTGTCTTTAATTAAATGGGCATTAATACCATGCAATGTCCTAACTCTGAATGTGGAGGCATTAAAATAATTAACTGGTCTAATATAGGTTTAGGAGGCTTGAAAAATAGGTTGAAAATAGGTGCCACTGTGACAGTATATCCTTGCGAAGGTGACCTTAATACTAGACATTGAAGAAGCATGTAAGTATCCTGACACATACAGTGGATATATGAGTACGTACTGTCTTTTCACTCTTAGAGCTGCACATGGCATCACACCTCTGCTTGGTTTCTCAGACTTGAGCAAGGCAATAGGAAACAGCCTAGAAACAATTAATGTCACACAGTCAGAATGTATTCTGAAATGTCTTCTGGTCCCTACAAGAATAGTACTATAAAATCACACAACACCAGGTTGGAAGGGACTTCAACGATCATCTGGTCCAGCCTTTCTTGACAAAAGTACGGTCTAGACAAGATGTCCCAGCATCCTGTTCAGCAGAATCTTAAAGGTGTCCAATACTGGGGGTTTTATTCCAGGGGCCAGTTGTTCTCATTGTGAAAAATTTTCCAATCAGAATCTCCCCAGGAGTAAGTTGTGCCCATTATTCCTCCTCTTTTCCACGCAACTCCATAAAAAAAAGTCTTCATCTTCTTTGTAGCTATCCTTTAAATACTGGAACATGGTGACAAGGTCTTCCCTGAGCTTTCTTTTCTCAAGGCTGAACAAACCCAGCTCTCTCAGCCTTTTCTCATAGGGCAGGCTTCCCAGTCCTTTGATCATCTTTGTGACCCTTCTCTGGACTATCTCCAGACTTTCCACATCTTTTTTTTTCTTTTTTTTATTGAAAACCAAAGGCAGCCACAGGACCCAGAGCAGCATTTATAGTCTTGTAAACATCCTAAAGAGAGGGGTGAATATCCAGCTGCCCCCTTGACTGAAGCTTTCTGTCCTCACAGAGAGAAGAGTGAGGCAGAGTGTCTAAGCTTATGAATAGCAAGAAAGAAGGAAGGAATGGACCTTTTTTGTTCTTAAGATGTGTTGAGGCCTGCAGAGCACTGAAACGCTTTACCACTAATGGCAGCAGAAAGCATGTGTGTTTTCTAGCAGGGGAGAGATCTCATGGAGGTGAAATAGAGATTTCCAGTTCAGCAGTGCCATGTGGCAACAGTGGGAAGCAAGTACAGCATCTCATTCATTAGTGTTTAACTTTGCCTCAGAAGTGCACTATAGGACTAAAGCTATTAAGAACACAAGAAAAGGTCTCAGCCTGGCATGGATTCTGGGAGGGTTCCGTTGGGAGTGTTTGAACTTACAGGTCAGAGTGAACCAAGCCCTCTAAAATTATATATATAATATATATGTGTATGGTTTTAAATTGTTCTTACAGAGATGATTCAGGATCAGAAAAGATACTGAAAAATGATTACAGCTCTCCATTTCCTAAGTAACTTTATTCAGGCCATCATGTAAATGGGACAAATGCCTAGCTCTCCCTGCAGGATGATGCATGCCTTTCCCTGCGCAGGGAGGCTTACCACGATCAGATGCCTTGGGGGGTGCATGAAGCCCCATGAATGTCCCTAGCACACAGGCTCAGTAAAGGCTGTGACAGTGGGACAGTGAGCACTGAGACAGAAGAAAGTGGCAGCTGTTTAATCATATACTTGATTAATCTAACGAGCAAATACGGTAAAAATTATTAAGATCACTAGAATACTGTTCATTTATCAGAGGAGCAGCTTAAGGCTGTGATTACAGATTTAGGACCCTCTTTAGGTTATGTTTAGCCATAAACGTAGGAAGACATATTGTCAAAATGATATTTTGTTGTGACCATGTAAATAAGACAAAAATGCTGACAAGCGACTGTCTTTACATGCTGACAATTATGGGATGTGGCTGAGGGCTCCAAGAAGTTCATATCCCTGTCACTTAGGAAACAACCATTGTTTTTAATGTGTGTTGGCTCCTGACACCAAAACCCAATTCCATACAGAAAACAAAGAATCCAGCTGTAAATAGCGACTTGCCAGGGAAGCACCAAGCTCAGGAGAAATGACTTATGCTTGGTTTGGGGAAGTTGTCATCTATTGATACTCCTATTGGAACAAAGGTTTTGCTGAGATTAACACGTATGCTGTGTGTGAAAAGCAGAGCCGCTATAAAACCGTGGTATGGAAAATGGTAATTAAAGGCAAATGAACCCATTATTTTGCCAATTTGTTCAAGAAACCTTAGGATCTACCAACATTAACAAGTACTGCAGTGTAACAGAAATGGATCTGAAGAATGAAACAAAAAAGAAAAGCTCTGGACACCAGTCTCGAGAAATATGTATGATTCCACCAAATTAGCAACTTCTACTAGAGACAGGTAAACTGCTATTGCCAGACTTCAGTATTAGCACCCACTGGGCATATGCATTTTAGACCTTCTGGACAAAACTTTATCAGTCTAAGTAGGGTAACAAGAAGAACAAACATGGCCATTTGATTTTACCTCCCTCCCTGAAGATGACTGTCAGTGTCCTGCACCAGTTCAGGTTGGAAAGTCATGAGTGAACAGTCAGATCTAGTAATGTTTTTTAAACAGGAGCTTAAATTCTGAGTAAATTAAACCGTGCCCATGCAAACCACATTGCTGCTAAACAGCCAATCCTAAATTATAGTACGTAACAACAGTCATTAATGCCTGGAAGCTCTGATCACTGTGTTAACAGTGGGATGGAAAAAATCCAAACCACTATAGCTAAAGTAGAAAGGGGAGGGAAATACACCTCCAAACCATGTTGTGATCTCAACTGGCCAGAGTACAGTGGCAATCTGTGGTATTTTTGTCTTTATTTATCAGACTGCATAATCTAATTATCTCTCATTAGTCCAAAGCTGATTATTTCATTTATCTTTGTATATGTGACAACAAAAGGCTCTCTTTAATTAAGCAGATCAGCAATTAGCTGTTGTTTTATAGGCAGTTTTAAACATCCCTGTACAAATAGCATGCAGCATGATTGTAATCAGATGCTCAGGGAAGAATTGTAGATGAGGACATTTTGATTTACAGCCCCATTTAGTTTAAAGCTGCACTGGCAAGTCTGACTGCAAAAGCAAAAGCTTATGAGATATGGCCAAGTTGCCAAGTACCTTCGATGGAATGAAGCTTGATGGAAGATCTGAGACAAGATCTGCCAGTGAAATTTAGTTAGATCTGCAGAACAGATCTGACTAAATGTGGGCTGACCCTGAAGAATATGGGGAAACTCTGCTTACATCAAACAGGAATGCTCTACTGTTTCTAGTGAAGGAGATTCACATTCAAACTCCTAACCCAAAATCTAACCCAAACTCCATGGTGAAAGAGCAACACACAGGTTTAAATGTACAGAGCTCTGTTCAGCTTGAGCAATCAGGAGTGTCTTCTGTTAATTAAACCAAGAGAATTACTTGCTGTTTGTGGTGGTGCTGTTGACAGCAGTAGATACTGCAAGAAACATAAGAACAACTTAATTTGGCTTGTGAGTTATCCAAAAACCGGAGCAGCAAAAGCACTAGAGCCTGGGTATCCTTCCAAGAATCTTTGGATGAATTCCCATTCCCAGAGATTCCTTCATCTCCTCTTAAAATGACCTCTCCCACTTTGGGAGTAGTTCCTGGAGGAGGAGTTGTCACTACTCCCTCCTTTCCAGTCCTGTACTGCAGATGTCATAACTGAGCCAAAATGTCAAAGCAATTTTTTGTTTAACCTTCCCAGTGTCTGCATTGGTTTCATCAACAAAAAAATTCTTGCATCCAGCCACATGTACGTGGCAGTTTGGCTTGGGGCTTGAGAGAAAAAATATGCAGAAAAGAAAGAAAAGCAGTAAAAAAAGAAAAAGTATAATTCCTTACAGTAATTTATGAACCTCCAGTAAGTTTTAATTTAAGATGTAAGTGCTGAGATAAGCATGAAGAAATGAAGTTGGATGTCTCTGGTAGCATAGAGAGAAAGAGCAATGAACTAGAATGCAAATCTTGCACAAACTCATATTTGTAAGCACTGGTATTGTCCATTACTTGGAAGTGGCTCAATTTAAATAATCAATTTGCAAGAGAAAACTGCTGGTGCATTTAATATACTGAACTTCCCCCACTGGACTGTGCTTGTGGACCTGCTCTGCTTAAAACATGGAGAAATGGGATTAAAGAACCAGAACAAAACATGTGATCCTTTTACTACTTTGATTTGCACATGCAATTCCTTATTTTTCAAATATTACCTGGAAAATTATGTTTGCTTGTGTTGATACAATTTTCAAAACACATTTGTTTTATTTTGTGAAAGACAATTCTTTCAAATACTTTTTGCTTTACTGCTGAATAACATTAGGAGTTTTTTGACAGGAACAACCGGTGATACTCCAGCTAAACATATGAAGAACTTTCAAACCTACAAGGAGATACTGGAAGAAATGGGGAGGTGCTTCAATGCCCTTTAGCTCTCTTTCTGCAGAGATTTCTCTGCACAGGACTCCCTTGCACAGTGTAATAAGCTTGGAGCAATGCACTGTTATGAGGCTGTTTACCTGCTGGTAATTGCCAATTAAGCCTAGTATAAAAGGCTAATGGCAATTCTCTTCTGCTTGGAGAGTAAGAGGTAAAAATGTTGCTTGAACAACCTGAAGACATCTGTGAAAGTCCCTGAAGAGAGTCGCGAAAAGGACATAACCTCTGAAGTATCTGCCATGAATTTTAAGGGCAGAGTCCCTAAAATGACATAGATGAAAACCTTGAAAAACCTAGAGCATCTTCTCATGCTGAGGGAATTAATGTTGATTTGAATGAACTGGATTGTAGCAGTCTTCATCTAATATGCGGAAACAGGTAAGCCGGACAATCAGTTCCCAGAGTCCTAATGCAATCCCAGCACTGGCTGTGAACATCACTGAGAGACTTAGATGACATTTCTGCACAAGGATTTTATTTAGAAGAAACAAAAACCAGCCAGTAGCACTGATCTCAACACTAATAACGGGGACAGAAAAGGCTAACAAAGACTGGCAAAACCAGTGCTAGAAGTAATTACCAAGTGGCTATTAAATAAGTGTGGATAAGACCTTTAGAGGATAATTTTTTTCCTTCATATTCTGACCAAAACACATCAGAGGAGACAGTAGTTGAGCTAAATCTATTATTTGTCTTATCAAATACAGTCTTAAAAGGAGAAAAAGTGTTCTTCCTCTGGGCATATTCTGAGAATATCTAGTAGGTACATTGAGAAGCAGGAAAATAAGATTAGAAAGCGAATATCATAGATGGCTGATGCGATATTCTCCATGAGGTG